ACAAACTGTCTCATGTTTATCTACTTTTCAACGTCTGAATTTTTTAAATTAAAATTCTAGGCCTGAATGTTAGGCTAAAATTCACTTTAAACTGATGGTAAGCTCAGTCTCTGATTAACTATAGGTTGCCTCTGAAAACAAAAAATACAGTGAATAGCATTTTGAAATGAAAGAAATGTGTCAAATCAAGAAAGGCAATATTACTGTTTTTGGGGGGCGATTTTTAAGTCAGGTTATCACCGTGTAGCCTTCACTTCACTATGTAGCTCAGGCTGACCTGGAAGTAATAATGATCCTTCTGTCTTAACCTCTTAAGTGCTGAGACTACAGGTGTAAACCATCATCTCTAGCTAGAGACAATATTTTTAGACAGGATCTGTTCTGGAATATTATATTTTTAAAAATGCATGCAGAAAAGACTAGAAATGTAGCTTGGGAGTAGAGAGCTAGCCTAACATGCACAAGGTATCAGGTTTGAGTCCCTCGTATTGCAAAACAAAAAGTACCAGTGAACAAAATTCCACATATTTGATTTTTTTTATTCTTTCTTTAGATAGGGTTTCACTATGTCTGAATGCTGGGATTATAGGCTTACGCCATATCAGCTTCCATATATTTGTAAAGGGTCCATAAGTAAAACTTCTAGCTCTTGCCAAAGGGAGTGTTTAAATAGAAAATGTAGAGTCCAATTTATAATGGAAACATAGTATAGTTTTAGGAGCTAATTTCCAATTTATTATAGAATGTTTGCATGAATATCAGAAAGATTGTAACTGTAGAGATTTTACTCAGTGGAAAACTGTGCTTTTAATAAAACCATCAGTAGATCTATTCCATTTCAATCATGAATCTCACACTCAGTGTTCTGTGTACAGGATTTTAATTATAACTCCTCTGTACTATCACATTAGATTACCACGAACTTGTATGTATGAATGTCTTGCCATTGTATCCCTGGAGAAGGTGAGAGTAGCAGGGCAAACTGAAATTAACGAGTCCTTTAGAAGCACTGATGTAATTTAGATGAATCCCTATGAAGAAAGGATAATATTTTTATTAATCTAAGGAAATCAGTTAAATTTAATAGCATATACATGAAAAATATGATTATAAACATGATAATTCTTTTTGTTTGGGCAGATATTTGTTCAGTCTAATCAAGGTGAAGAAGAAACAACAAGAATTTCATATTTTACTTTTATTGGTACTCCTGTCCAGGCAACAAATATGAATGACTTCAAACGAGTAAGTTTGTTTAAATGATGAGAAATACTAGTTGAAGGAAATGATTTAATACATTTCAGTATTCATAACTTAATAACCATGAAGATCAAAAATCATGTATCGTGAAACTTTTAAGGTTAAAGTTAGAGTAAATTCTCCCAGAGGAAGAGAGATTAAAGGAGGATAAGGGAGTGGGAAAATGAGAATTTCGGTATATCGTGTACACATACAGAGTCCTTATGATAAATGTGACCATTATGTGAACCTAAAATATACCAAGAAGCTTAGTCATTTTTTGAGATATCCAAAGGAGTCTTTAATGCATATGATATGTCTTAATTAAATACCCTATTGAATGGCATCTAAAGAAGAGTAAAAAATAATAGTCTGCTTATAGAAAGTGTTCCGAAGTCATGGGAAAATGAGTAAATTACTTGAAAGGAGTAAATTTTAATAAATTTGCTGATTTCAAGATTTTGATTATCACTATTTCTGATGAATGTATTTTTTTTTTTAACTTTTTATTTATTTGTGTGTGTGTGTGTGTGTGTGTGTGTGGCCAGCTCAGCCCACCAGAGGGCAGGGCTGGCTGGCATGTGGTGCTGGGGATTGAACCACGGTCCCTGTGCTTTGTTAAGCTTGTTCTAAGTAGGTGCTTTAGACCACTGAGCCATCTCACCAGCCCCAAATTTTAACTTTTTTTTTTTTTTTTTGTGGAACCAGGGATTGAACTCAGGCCCTTGCACTTGTCAGGGAAGCGCTTATTCTACTGAGCCATCTCCCCGGCCCCTGATGAATGTATTTTAAATGACTTGAATAATTCTATTTAAGAAGAAATAAATTCATTGTACCAACATGCTACTTTCCCACACAATGTGTATGTACTGAAAGCACACTTCAATATACATTTATAGTGAACAGGCAGGTTTTCTCCTATGTTTTTTTAAAATTCTGTGTATTTGTTTTTTAAAGAATACAATCTTAGGGGCTGGGGAGATGGCTCAGTGTAGTAAGCGCTTCCCTAGCAAGCACAAGGGTGTGAGTTCAATCCCTAGTTCTGCCAAAAAAAAAAAAAAAGAATACAATTTTAAGGCATGCGAAGAATATATAGGATACAGCTGGGTTGGTGGTGCATGCCTATAATCCCAGCACTTAGGAGGCTGAGGCAGGAGGATTGCTGTGAGTTCAAAGTCGGTCTGAACTACCTAGCAAGAGCATGTTTCAAATAACCTGCAAAACACAAATAATGTGTGGGCTACATAGGACTTGAGGGATGATGGCCAGTCCCTGTCATACAATTTTGGGCCAACTTCTAATTGATGCCGTTTCTGTTCTGCAGGATGAATCTTAAATATACCAACTTAGGTCACAAAAGTACCAGTGCAAAAGTCTCAGTACCAAGCCACAGTTGCTATATATAGTTTTAATGTGTGACATAATAGGAGACCTAAGGTCACAGTGTTTCTGATGGCTGCATCTGGCAGCCAATGTAGGACTTGAAATAATTAAAGGAAGAGTTTCTCTAGGGCTGCCTGTTCTTAGAGGAAGAGGTTTCCAGCAGACCATTGATTAGGGAATTGAAGCTGTGGAGCATTTTGAAAACACTTTCTTTTAGGGGGTGTCAACAGATTAATTTAAATTCAGTAACAAAAAAATTAAATTGCATGATAATGGGTGGTGTTACAAAATTATATGCTGCTTTTACACAGTTGAAAACTTTGACAATGGGCATCTTAACTGGTCATTTTTCAACTACTGTCTTTCAATCACTTCTGTTTCATAGCATAATTAACTTTCAGAAGTTGGTATGTACTAACATCTGTCACATCTAGGTGTTTTAACAGATGTATCATGCCAGGTCAGAAGAAGCAGAGATTAAACATCTATTTTTTATGATACGTATTTTCCTGGGAAAATGTGTGAGCGACAAAGGCATTTTGGCTGCTTGCTTTGCTGCTTTGCGAGTTTCATCTGAATGTCATTGGACTTGGCTTTAACTGTGCCTTGCATAGTTTATTAGCTTAGTTCTTTAGTAAGATCTATAACCATAAATTGTCTTTTTCCTACTAACTTGTCTCTAGTTTCCTATTTCTTACTTCAATTTGTGCTATTTCAATTGGGTTTTTCCTGTAGTCAACTACCATCCTATCTTGTGTCTCTCTTGCCTTTTGCTCACTTTTGTAGCCCCCAAGCTGATCTTAAACTCATAGCTATGCTCCTGTCTCAACTTTCTTGTGTGTCTATTTACCAGGCTGTGGTTGAATTGTGGTTTTCTTAGTTTGCAGTAATAATTATCAATCTACTTATCTTTTTATTGCCTGATTGTAACATCTCTCTCACATCCCTTCTAGCTTAGTCTTTTCTCTCTTTTTTTTTTTTTTTTTTGTGGAACCGGGGATTGAACTCAGACCGTTGCGCTTGCCAAGGAAGCACTTACTCTACTGAGCCATCTCCTCGGCCCTTTTTTCTCTTTTTTGACTGCCGTGCCTCCTTTTTTGGGTCTGTCTGTAGATAGACAAACTTTTCTGGTTTGAGAGCATTTGTGCCTATCATAGTCATTTGTTCACTTAACTCTTTTCACTTAACTTACTGTAGAGTAGCAGTTCTCTTAACTTGTTGGTCTCAGTTACCTTTTAAGCTGTGAAATAAAATAGGACCAAGAAAAGCCTATATTTATATAGGATATATTTATCTATTAGAAGTTAAAACTGGACAATTTTTAAAATATTTACAATTACATATTAATAACTGGTTGTGATAGCACACACTTGTAATCTCAGCACCCGTAAAGGTTAAGACAGGAGGATCACAGGTTAGTACCCTGCCTTGGCAATTTAGTGACTTAAAGAGACTGTCTCAAAATGAAAAATATAAAAGGGGATATAGATGTACTTCAATGCAAAGGCCCTAGGTTTAATCCTCATACTGTCCTCCCCCTCCCCCCCCCCAAAAAAAGAAAAGAAAACAACATGTTTAACATTATTCGAAAGATAGTCTTGACATCACAGACTTGCTGACAGGGTATAGAAAAGGTATAGGGACAGCAGGCGGGACTGTACTTTTAAGAACAAGAATAATTTAAATACTGTTAAGGACTTCCCTGTAGGTTTTCTATATATTTATGTATGAACCTACAAGAATATAATCTTCCTGTAGACAGGGATCTCTTAAAGTTTAATAATGTTTAATTGTTTGAGCAATGTTCTTATGTATGCTAGTATCAAACTATATTTTGTTATAGTTTCTGAATGAGATTTGTTTTGTTTGTAGTTATCCAGTGTTTGTAGTGTTATTCCTCAAAAATAAGCAACTATTTCATTGTTTTTATATTATGTGATGCAAGTGTTTCAGTGTAGGAAAAAATTAGAGTTCATATTTAATCAAAATTTGCCCATTTAGGCCTAAATAAAATTGCCTATTAATATTTATAAATGAATTTGTTTCTATTGAAGGGAATAATATATGGTTTAATAGTTTCTATCCCTATAGTAAGGTGTTAGTACAGTCATGATCCCTGTCTACAGGAAGATTATATTCTTGTAGGTTCATACATAAACATACAGAAAGTTAATCAAAATTAACATAAACTTTACTCAGTATACTTTCTTCCATAAAGTATTCTTATACATTTCAACTAAGCCCAGCAGTAACTGGGAAAGTATGAGAAGGGTTTATGGAGAAAAGAAACATTTTTGTTTGTTTTTTTTAAGACATGGTCTCACTATATAATCTAGGCTGGCCTTGAACCCACTGTGTACCTTAGTCTTTCTGCCTCAGCCTCCCAGTATCGGGATTACAGCTGTGGGTCTTGCTAGAAAAAGGACTTTTCAAGCACATTTTGAAAGCAAAATTTTGATGAAGTAAAAGATAGTGATGATAAAAGAGAGGATGGAAAAAGGACAAGCAAAATGCAGTATTTTTTCCCTTATTCAGTGAATTTGAAATGAAAAGGGATTATACATTATAATTAAAATTTTACATTTCAAAATATGGCATAATTTTGTAAGTACAAGCAGGGAAGTTTTGGTAACTTCTTTGTAGTAATAAGACCTGTATAAAATTGTTTAATGAATAGTTAGCATTTTTAGTTTACATTTTTATGTTTTTCGAGTTATTATAGATCATTTTAATTTTCAGAATGTCCTTGACCTTACCTTATGTCACTAAGATAATAGGAGCTAAGGTAATCCTGGTGAATCTTGGATGTGGATAGAATCTAAACCTACCTTGCATGCTAGCACAATTTTAGAAGGGTATACTTTCAAGATGTACTAGACTAGAGTACACATTCTACCATCTGTTTTTGGTCCGTCCTTAAAGGTATCATTCTCAGATTTTAATATATGCTTTGGTTATTTGTTGTTGTAAATGTATTCTTTGTTTTGTAGCATGAAAACCTCACCATTTTAATTGGAAGTGATATTTTCTTTGTCAAAATGTGTTCTTTACACAGATCGCTTTATTTTAATATTGAAATATAAGTATGAAAATGAGAAAATTGTAGGGGCTTCTGCTTCTTAGGGAATGAGGCGCATGTGAAAAGCAGAGGGGATTTTTATCACTGTAGTAAAAATAGACTTTTCTAAACTGGCCATTCACCATGTCAGCTATTTTTATAACATTTCTATCTGTTTATTTTTCAGCTTTTTTAATCCAACTCAAATGAACTAAAACCAGAAGATTTTTTTTTAATGAAGTAATAAAAAGATTGACCTTGTCTCACAATACTCCCCTCCTTGCTTCTCTGCTCATCTAGCACCTGTCTGTTCTCACCCTTTCCGTGTTCTCTCCATTGTCACTGCAAGATCTCTACAGCTTCCATCGTTGGATCAGCCTTTTTACCTAGATTGCCTCAACTATCTCCTTCACATCTCATCTTAGCCATGTTTCTCAGTTGGCCTCTTTATTTTCTTTTGGGCTTGCAGCTAGGTGCTTTTATTTTCATTACTGTACTGCTACTCACCAGACTTTTACTTTCTACTGTTTCATATTTACTTTGGTTCTGAATTTTGAGGAGTAATACTGAACTAAAACTTAAATTGTTATAATGCTTTCAGATTTAATTAGATGATGTTTTAATCCATTCTAAATTTTTTTTTTTTTTTTTTTTTGACCTATAGAATCATTTTGGAAATAGGTTTTATTCTAGAGCTAGTATACATTAATTATGTTTTACTTGAGGGGTGTGGGTTTTCTTTTTCTCTTTGAACTGTTAGCCCCAAAGTCTTTGATGATTGATGTGGTTATATCCTCTGCTTTTGCCTAAAAGCTCAAGGCCAGTTGAAGGACTTATGGACTGAATGATAGGCTGAGTCAGAATATTAACATAGAAGATCAATGGACTCTGCTGAATAAATACCTTTAACACCTAATTTTGATGTACATAAACTTTGGTTTGAGGTGTAATATAAAGCTTAAGAAAGAATGAAAGAGCTTTACATTTGGGGTAAGAATCCATATTGGAATGTTTAATTTCTTCTTTTTTACAGAGAATGCATATTGGCAAGTTGAGAGTTATCAACCTGTGAAACAGTATGCAGATTTGTGTCTTCTGTGTCACATCTGCTAAAATTTAAATTTTTAATATTAGTTGTTTTTGTTTTCTTTTGCTTAACCTAATAGTTCTGCATTTCCAAAGTAATATAATATCAGTATGCTTTCAGTGTTAATCAGCTTAAATTTATTTGTGCTACAAATAGTGGCACCTCCTCAACCTTATAGTGTCTTTCAGACATTATTCTTTTTTTTTTTTTTTTTGTATTTAGTGCAGGGTCTGCAGGGTCTCAATATGTAGATTGGACTCATAGTGATTCTCCTATTTTCAGCCTTCCAAGTGCTGGGATTACTGGTGGGTGCCACCATGCCCAGTCTCAATCACTGTCTCAGCATGCCCCTGGGTGGGACCAAGTACGCAGGCCAGGGATCAAGCCTCCAACCCCTGTGTCTGCCTGAGCAGGCGCTTTAATCCGCTGAGCTATCTGGCAGGTCCCTTCAGACCTTTCTCTTAACCCTTGGCCACATCTTTTTTTCTTAATGACATGTTTTATCACCTTCTATTATGTTGAGGTTTTTTTTTTTTTTTATGATCGCAGGAATTGAACCTGGGACCTTGTGTTTGCCAGACAGGTGCTTGGGCCACTGAGCTATACTCCCCCTTTTTTTTTTATACCAGGAATTGAACTCAGGACCTTGTGGTTGCCAGGTGGGCAGTGTGCTACTGAGCTATATCACCAACTAAGTGGATTTTTTTTTTTTTTTTTTTTTTTTTAACCAAAGAGGAGTTCCTTAAAGTAATACACAGTGGTTTTCTTTGCAGGGTAGCAGTATGAGGTTAGAAGTTTAGGTGGAAAAGTTTTTGTATCTTCTCTCATGAATGACATGGAGCCAGCTGTGTTCTATTTTAGACTAGACATACACTGTGACCTTAATGAGTTTTGCTTGGTGTACACATTACCGTTTGGAACAGAATTTAAAATATGGAAATTTTATTTATAAATACACATATAGATCTTTTTCTATACAAATATAAATGTAATATTTTGCAGGTGGGTTTCTTTAGAGGTGTTTCTGTTATGAGAATGTATTAACTAATGATAAACTCAGTACTTGAGTTAAATCACTCTATTAGAAAATAAAACCATCCTTTCTGGATCTGTTGGAGCACACCTGTAATTCCAGCACTGAGGAGGCAGAGTCAAGAGGATCACTGAGTTCAAGGCCAGCCTTAATTTCCTCCCACAGAGATTTGTTTTCTAGAATTGTTAGTATAGATCAAGTTTTTCTTTACATTTTTATGCTGCCATATATGTAGGAACCAGAGGACTAAAACAAAATAAAACTTCAAATAGAGGATTTTTCTAATCATTGACAGGCACAGCTTTATTCTTCATATATATATTTTTTATAATACATTTGTAGTCGCCAGGGCTTTTTAAAAGAGAAAGTTAGAAAAGTTATTTTAAATCTCTTTTCATTGAATGTCTGCATATTGAAGGAAGTGTCTAGAAACTTATTGTGGGCATGAAGACATTATTAGTTCATCATACTTTTAAAATTCTAGTTCATTTTGTGATTAGCATTTGATTTCTAATTGTCTAAAAATAGTATGCAAATATGTTTTACTCATATAGCATCTTTTTTTTTTATTAACTTCTCTAAACTATCAGCCTTGTTTGGAAAAATCACATTAGTTTTTCTTAAAACAGAGTGGGAATCCAAAATAGCTTGCATGTATTTCATTTTTAATTCCTTGTGGTCCAGGAGGGGAAGGGGACACAGCTTGCTTCCACAGTGAAAGCACACTGCATGCCAACAAAAAAAATAAAGCATAAGTATTAATACTAGGTTTTCAAAGTGATTATCGCATTAATATTTTTGAAGAAAACCCATATTTCTAAATAAATATTGTGCATACAGCTTTTGTTTGTTTGTTTTTCTAGGTAGTTGGCAAGAAAGGAGAAAGCCATTAAGGTTCAGACAACACTGGAAGACCTCTTGCAATCAGATTTGCAGCTCCTGGATAATTGCTTGATTCTCTCCAGAGACTGTCAATATTGCATTCATTGCCATCACCAATAAATCATTGCTTTTGTTCAGATGGTATCACTAGTGTTTCTATTGTAATCTTGATACATGCAATTGTAAATAAAAGTCACTACTTTTGCCAAGCTTAAAATTTGTCATTTATATATTTTCCCTTACCTCTTATTTGAAAAATATTCATCTTCTGATTTTACAAGACTTGAGTATCTGGTAGCATATCACTTGAAAGCTAGTTTTTCTCTTTAGAGGAACAGACCTGTTGTTAAGGAATATGTGTATACACACACATATACAGGCACCTAGAGCAAGTGATTTTGATCAATAAACTTGAATAGCTAACCAAGTAGAAAGGAGAACTTACATTTCTATTAAAAGTCATCGGGGTATTTGAGCAAAAAGAAGTTATTCAGTTACAAACTACCAGAAATAAATAGGTTCAGTAAGATTGAACCACTCTTATCTAGAACTGTTAATTAGCCCACACATTTTCATGTCAAGATTTTAATCCTTTCTGAATGAATGTTAAAGTTTGAGTCAGCCATTTTGCTTACTAGCAGAGGAGTGTTGAATTCAGACAGTTTTAAAAAACAGGACTGAATTCCTGAAACCATAGAAATCATTGTATTTAATTTAGTACTATCTGATTACAAAAACACATAGTATTGGCTGGTGAGATAGCTCAGCAGACTAAAGTGCCTGTTTAGGCAAGCTCAGGGACCATGGTTCAATCCCCAGCACTATATGCCACACCAGCAGGCTGAGCCTGCTACAGAGTCCAGGCGTAGTGGCACTTGTCTGTAATCCCAGTGCTGAAGAGTTGGAAAATGATCCCTATGAGTCCAAGCTGAATAGTGAGACCCTGTAACAGCCAAATACATTTAAAAAAACACACACACACATTGTATTAATGTACAGAGAACACAATTTAAGGTTGAAAATTAATTGGCCAAGTATTTAAGACGTTTCACAGAAGGCTGGCTGACCAAAAATACGTGTTCTTGCTTTTTTTAATCTTAAAATTACCTAGAAAGCACTGTATTGGTAAATTTAATTTTTATATTTTGAAATATTTTAAAAATTTAATATTTTTAAAGAGTACTAACTTGTGATTCAGTTAGTGCATTTGAAGACATTCTTGTCTAAAGATATACAAATACTGTTCGCCCTTGGGAGATTGATGTATTTATACATGATTTGAAAAAATTATGTGAAAGTTTTAAGGGTGAAGTGATTACTTTCTAAAACCTAAGTGTCATTACTTAATGTTTAGTTCATTTGTATGTGAATGCAGTAACCGAGTAATGTCTTGTTTTATGTATTTCACACTTTCCTTGCCTTGGGTCGAGTGGTGGCAGAAACTCAAAAGTTTATAACAATACAAATATAGACCATCTGAAATTAATCATGCCTAAAATCAAGAATAAGATTTAATCCTTTTTTAAAAATATTTTGTGCATTAATCTTGAGTAATTATTAATGCATCTTAATAATTGCTATTTATAATTAAATTTATAATTCAATTGATAATTTATAATTCCTGTTTATAATTGAAAATTTGAAAACAGTAAAAGTGTGAAAGTATTTGTAAAAGGTTGGGCCTCATTTATATGACTTTTCTATTAATGGAGTTGGTTGTAGTATACCAACATACAATATCTACTCAAATTGTAAATAATGTTTTTAGGTAACATGTTTCACTTATGAAAAGTTTTATTATAAATAAACATGCATAATTGACATTACTTATCAAGCTTAAATGTATGTACATAATATGTATATGTAACGTCATTTTTCTAGAGGAATGAGAACATTTAAAAAATATTTTTTTTTTTTCTTCGAATGCCTTCAGGGCAGGTTTGGCTGGCTTCAGCTGTGGGGATCGAACCACCGCAACCTGAGCCTGACTGCTTTGTTGAAGCAGCCACTTAAAGAACTGAGCTAAGGGGCAGGCCCCCCAAAAAAATTTTAATGAAGGTTTTTAGTACTTCCTAGGAAACTAATAATTGATTTTGTTCTATCTAAAAATTTTGTTTGTACATTTTATTAAGTTCATATCAGCATGAATATCTGTTGAAAAGCAACAGTGAAATACCCTGTTCACAACAAAAGCAAAAGTAAAATATTTCACTGTTAGTCTTTGTCAGGTAAAGGCAAGATTAGCACTGGTGACCACTCTTGTGTATGTGGCATGCTTTTCAATCCATTTTGGCCTTTGCAAACAGCCCTGTATCATTCTTAATGTTGTATAGAATACCACCATTTAGTGATCTCTTAATGGAGTTGATATGTCAGTTGAAACCTGTCATCCTTGTCTCATTGTTACAATGTTCACAGGTGTAAACTGTTAATATATATTTGACTTCATTTTATTTATAGCTGCTATTAAGACATTATATGGGTTTTTTAAACCTAGAAGTGAAGAGCTTCTCATGTTGCTCTTAATGTCTAACATTTTTTAGCACTGTGATAGGAATAACTGTTGAAATTAAGCCATATAGTTATACCCTTCTCCTTTTTGAAAAAAAGATGTAGGGCTTACCTCTTACCTATATTGATATTTATGTAGGTCAGTTTGGTTAATTTTTGTATAGGGTATTTATCATCTGGAATTGGTCATTTCAAATTTAAATACATGTTTTAAGAAAGGTAAGTTAGGGGCTGATGAGATAGCTCAGTGAACTAAAGTGCCTGCTTAGGCAAGTGCAGCGACTGTGGTTTGATCCCCAACACCACATGCTGTGCCAGCCCTGCCCCCAGGGCAGGCTGAGCAGGCCACAGAATCTGGGTGTGGTGACACACACCTGTAATGCCAGTGCTGGGGAAGCTGAAACCGGGAGGAGCACCATGAGTCCAAGCTGCGTAGTGAGACCCAGCAACAACCAAATACATTAAAAAGGTAACTTAGAACCATTCAATGAATTACTAAATAGAAAAGAATGTATTTATCTTTTCACACCTAATTATGGAGATTTCATGAAATTTTATGGAAGTCGCTGAGCTTTGAAATGATTAATAGTATAGTGTGTTTTTTTTGATATAGTGTGTTTAGTAAGTAAACATACAGATTAATTGGTTTCATTTTGGCAGATTTGTATGTGCATATAGCATACTTTAATCCTATTTCATCAATTATTTAGGCCTCCCTTCTAGTTTCTAATGTTTTTCCCTTGGTGAGCTGGGAGAATTCAATGTGTATAATGTATTTTGGTCGTATGTTCCTACCCCTGTCACCCACTCTTTTATCTTACTGGTAAAATTTTAAAATCAAGGATTTTTCTCCACTTATATCCATATTGCTTTAGGAAAAGTAGATGTTATTTTAAGCATGTTTTAAAATTTAAATTTTTTATTAATACATTTTTATATGCCAGTGCCATAGGAAAAGGGACTGGAAATTTTATAGGCTAATAGATCACTTTAAAATTTTATGGCATAGGTAGGATTATTAAAGAATGTGTCACTAAACTATATATGCTATTAAGGTTATACAGAGCATGGTTATTAAAGTCTTTGGATATGTTACCTTAAAATTGAGAACTGGGCATGGTGCACCCCTACACTTGGGAGAATGAGGCAGCTGGACTGCTGTGAGTTGAAGGCCAGCCTGGGTTTCAAAGTGGATTCAAGGCCAGCCTGAACTGAGATATGAAACCATATCT